GGGTCTTGGACTTGGTTTCCGTTGGCCCCGAGTAAATTACCCGCTGCTCTGCGTTCTTCGTCCTCCATTATATTGTTTGCGCGTTGAAGTCTCCTAGCGGCTCGAAAAGTGCGTTCGATTTCGGGATCAAACGGTTCTCTGGCAAGATCGAGTCTCCTAGGCATACACCGTACCTAAAACAAAAATAAAATAAAACAAAAATTAAATGGGTGAATCGTGAAAATTGTTCAAATCTAGAGCTAGAATAAAATAAATAATTAAAATAGTCCCCGGCAACGGCACCAAAAACTTGTTGGTCGAAAACCTACACGCAAGTGCACGTATCGTACAAGTAATATAGTGGACAATTAAGTCCGGATATCGAACCCATAGGGAATATTTAATTACTTAATCCTAGACGCTAAATCCTAGCAATTATTATCAAGCCCACCCTACACAGTCGAAAGATGATTAATAAACTAAACTAAACTAAAGCAATTAAATAGATAAAAACAAGAAAGCAATTAAAACGAAGATTTAATCAATGAAAACAAGCCTAGGATTTTATTCTTCCCCCTATGTGATTATTATTCCCCCAATTCCTTCAATTATGCAAGCAATTAACCCGGATTATTAACCTGAGATGCTAAAATAATCATAACCCGCTTCCGCGTGTATTACGATTCTAATACTCTAGATTCAATTACTATATTCCTATGCAATTAATTCTAGAACACAGCATTAAGCACAAATCTCAATAATGGCTACCTAAGAGATTAACTATATTCCTATGTTAATACCACAAAGGCTCTTCTACCACAGTTCTAATTATTAACCCGATCTTCCGATTCATGCGATCAACAATAACATAAAAGCACATAAGTTGATCAAGTTCATGCACTTAATAAAACAAGTAGAAGAAATAATCCGGAATTAAAACTTGCATAAAATCATAGAAAAGGGTTCATAAATCCCACATAGGGTTCCAAATAAAATCCTAGAAATAAGTAATTTAGCTACTCATGATTAAAGGAAAAACGCAAATAAAATAAATCATAGATGATAAATCTATGCTTGGAGTCTTCGAATTCTTCGTCTTCGTTATTGCTTTGTTGCTCTTGAAATTGCGTAAAAAAAAAAAGGATCCTCAATTGTGTGCTTGGATTGGTCTTATATAGGGTGAAGAACTTGGGGAAGAAGGCAGTTTCCTTGTGCAATTAAAATACTTTCACTGCGCCAACACGTCAACCCGGACGGCCGTGCGAGAATAGGCTTTAAAATCCGGACGGCCGTCCGGTTCTTAATTCTCCAGAATTTCTATTTTTTCACTTTTGGCCCACTTTTTCTCCGAATTTACAGTTTTGACCCCATACTTTTCCAATTCTTCAATTTGTACCTAAAATACAATAAATCAACTTTTTAAGCACCAATTATCATTAAAACACACCAAAAGCTCAAATAAAAAGATACGATAAAGTGTAAAAATATACACTTAACATATGTTCACGAGTTTGATGAGTTGGTTTGTCGGTCAGGATTGATGAGGACGAGGATTACACACAAGATATTGATGATTTTGTAATTTTGTTATCTTTGTATTGCTCTTGGGATATTTCTATTCTTGTGTATTTACATTTCCAAGATTTGTCTCTCTCTTTTGAAATATTATGATTTAAATGTTGGATTATCTTGCCGCGATTAGAATCTGCAGAATCTCATGTTGAGGAGGAAGACGAAAGCTTGAAGTTCAATGCATGGAAGAGTAACGGAGATGAAAAACTTGAATTGCTTTATTTCTGATGTATGTGATTTTATAATATGCTGAACCGAATGAATTAAGTTGACCAACTCTTCTGATCTATCTATTTGTACACAAAGTATACATACAAAGAGTATATACAAAGAATACATTCGAGTTTGTTACACGGTTTTGATTCAGCTTGTTCGCGCATGACTAATTAACCCTTATTAACTCCCGATCGACTAATGTTGATACCAACAATCTTGGTGAGGTGGAACCTTGCGATGTGATTGGTGGAAAGTAGTCGATTGCGTATAATCCAATATCCCCCTCAAGACATGGATCGAATAAATTTTTAAGAGACATATATCTCGAACATGAAATAAGAGAAGGAAGTGATATGTAAGGGTTTTGTAAGAATGTCAGCAACCTGGTCCATTTTCTTGATTGGCATTATTAATCTAATGACACCTTTGGTACCCTGCTCTCGAATGTAATGGCAATCTATTCCAATATGCTTCGCCGCTCATGAAAAGTAGGGTCATTTGGCTATGTGGACAACTATCGAAGTATCACAAAACGGTAGAGTAGTAGCACTTGATTCTCGGTAATCATTGAGAAGTTGTTTAATTCCAACTAATTCGCTAGCTACTGAAGCTAAAGCTCTACAATCAGCTTGAATATGCGAGTTTTTCAAATCTACAATCATTGTAGGATTATGACTAGCTAATGTCAAGTCATCTATATATAAACTAATAGAGCAAAAACATGAATCACCACTTCCTTTGGTAAATAAAGAATAATCAGCCTTGGATCGAGTAAATCCAAATTGAACAGTGGCTTATGTTAGCTTGAAGTTCCACTGCCTAGAAGCTTGTCTTAAACCATATAAGGATTTTGTTAATTTACAACAACCTCGGACTGATGATCAGAAGGACGACGACTAGTGGAAGATTTGTAGCCTAGTGGTAAATCCATATAAACGAACCATTCAACAAAGCATTGTTTACATCCATTTGGCATAAATGCCATTGTTTGGCAGTTGCAATAGGCAAAAGTACTGTTTTGACAATCACATGTTTACCATACTAATTAAATCATTGAAGTGCAACTAGATCTAAAGAATTATTTGATCCAAACCACTCAACGTGAACACCAAATTGATTCCGTACCGTAGTTAAGAACTTGAGAATAAGACGAATAAATTCAAATTTAGCTTTGACCATGCATATCCGAGTGTATATATCTTGAGTAATCGTCAACAATTGTAGCAAAATACTTATCATCAGTGTCTGAGCTAAATTTATAGCGGCCCCATATGTCATTGTGAATCAATTGAAAAGGATGTTGCTCAAAAGTGTTATTAGAAACAAAGGGAAGCCTTTTTTTTGCTTATAAGCACAATTGGACATATACATCAAGGTATCAAACAACCGAACAAATCAGACGTAAACTCTCGTTGGACATATATGACAAATCTAGAAGACATAAGAGCACTAACTTAAATGAGATTGAATTTGAAAATAGGAATATAAAATACATCTTTTAAAATTAAAGCTTGAGGGAGCTTCACATATATCACCAATAATACCAACATAAACTATTGAATTATTACGCAAAATGACTTCAGTAGAAGAAGTGCTTCCAGTATTAGTGAATAAATCTAAATTGTGACATATGTATTTGGAGAAGAAAGCTTGATGTTTTATGCATGGAAGAGTAACGAAGATGAAAAACTTGATTTATTTTATTTCTCATGTATGTGATTTTACAATCTGTAGAACTTAATGAATTGAGTTGATCAACTCTTCTGATCTATCTATTTATATGCAAAGTATATTTTAAGTATATAAACATACAAAAAGTGTATACAAATTAAAGAATACATACAAGTTTCTTACTCGGTTTTGATACAACAGCTTGTTCATGCGACTAATATAATGCTGGCATCAGCCCTCAATCATATAATTCTTGCGTATAATGATATAATCCAATAGCCGCGATGATGTCGTTATCAACCCTCAATCATGAAGTAGTTACGTAATGTAAAGATGTAAAGTAATTTATTTATTAGTGAATATATAAATTGCTACTTATTTGAAATGATGATTTCACTACAACATTTTAGCCTTTATACGACGCATGTTTTACCCGACGGTTTGAAAACCGTCGTATAAAAGACCGTTCTTGACGCTTTTTGAATCGATTTTGACACATAAAAACCATCGTATAAAATAATATTATTGACGTTTTTTAAACCAATTTCGACACATAAAAACCGTCAAGAAAAAAACTAATTTGATTTAAAAATAATCTAAAAAATGAACCTGATTTATAAATAATTAAATAAGCAAAAAGTTTCCCAAATTCACTTTATTACTTTTTCTCTTCCCGTTGATACATCTAGAAAAGCTAGGGCTTTTCTCCACCGCCGCTATCGTCGTCGCGTGGCGTCGCAATCATATATCCACCGCCATCGTCGTCTCCATCGCTATCCCCTCCTTCATTGTTGTCTCCACTGCAATCGGAATCCCTTCCTCCACTGCCATCGCGATTACCACCGCCACCGCCACCGCCATCGCGATTACCACCGCCACCGCCATCGCCAACGCCACTAATGTCTCCGCTTTCTTCTCGTATTGATTTTTTGCCCTAAAATTTATGTCTACCTACGTTTTACTCTTTAAACGTTTTATTAGGTAAATTTGTATTGTTGCCAATGGACTTCATCATTTCTAGAATGCCGAAATTCACTGTCCTCTCTCCTTCTTTAGCTCATTGGCAACAATAAAAAGCTTCAACTTGAGGATGTGAATGCTGTCTCTATGAGCTTTGGCCCAATTGATTGCTTTCAGATAGTTTAATTTTAATCCTTTCAATTTTAATTTGATGTGCTTTTCTTCAAGCCTTTGACTACGTAGATTTGTTTATTTTTCCTCAGTTTTGAAGGACAAAAAATGCATATTATTTTAGCTGTATAATATCTGCAATTTTTGTTGATGAGAATCTTTTGTGTTGCACTTTTGTATTATTATATTTCATGTTAACTTTAAACCATTTTCAAAGGTATGAAATTTATCTTACAAGAAATAATTGTCTGATTATAACACAGATTTACGGATATATGAAGTGTCGTAGTGACCACTGGAAAGGGTCCTTGAAGTCATCAATATCAAGAGGTATGCATATAATAGTGTTCTGAATATAATAGCCTTAAGGTCCACAATTCTCTGTTATCATTGAATTAATTTTGGTTCTAACAGGTTGGTTTAATTTATTTCTGGTTGCTGCTCTATTTTACGTAGGAACAATTGAATCTCATCAACCAATATCCGAGCATCTCTTTTATGCGCAAGATTTTGTTGATGAGGTAATTACTGGAGTCTCCGTGTTTCAATCATTTCCGTTAAGATTTATTTGTCTTGGTGTTTTCTTTATGAGTTGATGTACATCATTGCATTTTCATGACTTCTTTTTCCAGTTGAGGATACCTCTGAAATTTGAGTATGTTATGCAGGACTCATTCATCCGAGATTATCATACCGTATCATAAGTTCTCCAAGAGCCTTATACATTCGTTTTCCTGTGGAATACGGTTTAAAATTCGTTTTGAAACAGAAGATTCTTCTGAAAGAAGGTAAGTGTTATAATTTAATCATATGTATATTCTGTATCAAGAGAAGTAGTTTTAATTTGGTAGGTGCAGTTGCCTGCAAGATGGCCTGGTTCAAAATGAAAGTATTTACTGGTAATAAGTATTTTCTTGATTTTGGCTGGACAATTTGATACCCCCTTGGTTTTCATGCTCTACATGTTCAAGTACCTTTGTGGATTGATTTTTATATATAATATTTGGTATTATTGATTAATCTTGGGTTCTTTTCATACAGGTAAGCTGCAGCATTGATACAAAACCATTATTAATGATAAGGATGTTAACAACTCAAGTCTGAGTGAGGGACGGATCATTTCAATTAATATTACCCATTATGAGTAAGATTTTTCTACATCCAATAAAAGCTACATAATCAGTTTGCAAGCTTCGTCTATAAACTTCGTCATCCATATATTATCTCTTTATCCAACTCAAGTGTTTGGTCAATTTCTTGCTTAAATTTTTGCATATTTGATGATTAATTCTCTAAGTAGGTCTTGATTGGATGATTCAAGAATTCTGGCCTTGCAGGGCAGGCCCTAGTGCTTTTTTTTAATGGGAGGAAATGTTTAGACATATACAACTTCAGTTCCTCCAACATCAGGTCTAGGTAAACAATATATTATTCTTAATACTTAATTACTAAAGTTCTATTTAATTTAAACTAATATTGTCATTTATTTTCAGACATTGAGTATGCCCTGCACTAAACCAGCTCATAGTTATCGCCATCGTTGCTCTAATTCTCTTATGTTCATTTTATGGCGTTATATTAAACTTTCATCTTTTATGTTTTGTGATTTTTTCATGATTTTTAATATCTTTCTTTATATACTAAACTAAGATATGCAATTTTTCCAGATTTTCACATGTTTATGAGGTTTTATGGCCTCTCCTAAGCGATATCTCAAGGCTTGACAACACTACATGTTAATCAGGTGAACCTTCTTTATATTCTTTATACTTTCTTCATAATACAATTTGATTTCTTTTATGTTATTTCGTTTCAGTTTAAAGTGATCTACCAGTAGATATATTGTAGATATATTTTCTGGTGATGGAATAACCTGTTTTTTTCTCTGGATTGTACAGGAACACATTGTACATGGGAGCATGGGATGAAGGACACGCATGCCACTAATTAACCAAATTTAATTAAATTCAAAGTTATTAGCTTGTGTTGTTTTTGTTAAACTGAGATGTATAGACTTTATAAGTGAATGTAAGTGTTGTTTTAAAGATAATTTTCGTGAAGTTTGGTTTTGCATACTTTTGGAAAACAAGAATTTTCGTGAAGTTTGGTTTTAAAAATACTTTTGTATTTGGGGAATCCTAGTGATTTTTGGCATTTGTATATGTTCGTGTTGGGAAATTATAATAATTTTTGGCATGTGGTTACAGTTTTTAATAGGTTTCAACATTAATTCGAAGAAAATATTGAAAAATATATACCAGTATTTATGACGGTTTTCAACTGTCGATAAATGTATTCTTGACGGTTTTCAAAATAAATATGAGTATTTACGACGGTTCTCAAAGCGTCGAGAAACATTATTCCCGACGGTTTTTTTACACGTGAAAGTATATACGACGGCCTTTTTCTTGACGGTTTCGTGACGGTCGAAAACCGTCAAGAATAATGCTCCCGACGGTTTTTCTACTTTTCCCGACGGTTTTTTACCATCGCATAAAGCCATAAATGTTGTAGTGTTTCTTCCTCGTATAAGTACATAGAGTTTTACAAAATCATATATAGAGACATAGTTTCCTGTTTGTTAGTGAAATGGTATATATATTAAGTGCCTTGCAGTAACTTCTCATTCGATTGTTTTGGGCAAGTCAGGGTAGTTGTCTCGTAATATTTTGTGGCATGTGTTTACCTTAACAAAAGCAATTTTTATCTTTCAAGTTTCACCTACGGTAGCCTTCGAGCATCATTAAGTTTCTGAATGCACTGTAATTTCACTCACTTTGTTATACACAATAAATCGTGCACACCTGAATTTACCCAGTTTACAGATATCATAGTACAGTAATAAAAATAGATTTTCTCAATCAATGGTAGTAGAAGTAGTTCTTTATACGTATAAAACAGTATGCGACTACAACTTACTCGGTTCCTAAATAATAGCCCGATTAACAGACCAGGGGCTGTGACAACTGACAGTTGAGATAACTTCTCGACAAGATAACATCATGCTCCTTTCTTTTCTTCTTTTCTTTTGCGACTCTATGATTTTGAGAAAACTATTTTCTCAGCATATCATAAAAAACATGCATTTTCACTGAGTAGACTGTACAAACGAACTATAAATTATGTTATTTCATGAATATACAAAGTTCGCATTAACCAAGAATACGTTCACCGCCCCCAGTTTGCTACCACCATGAGAGTTCTTCATTCGCGCAATAATTACGGCAATATTCAACAAGGGTAAATAATGGAGCTTTCAGAAACCATCAACTGTTATGAGGTTCCAGGTTGAAGAGGGAGTAGAGAACCTTGTTTTCCTCTGATAAAGAATGTCAGCTCGGCTGGAGCAACCACCATTTTCAACCATTCTTGCAAGTCTTCACCTTCCACTTTCTCTTTCTCTGAAATTATTTTGTTCCCAGAAAATATCAATCCGAAATAGTTTATATTTCAAGTAACATTATACCACATACGATTGCAATCATGAAATTATGTCAAGAAAATGTTTTTTTCTCTCTCTCTTTTCGTTGTTCCCTACGCATGGCATGATTTGTTTTTTTATGGCTAGTTCTGATTATGATATCCCACATGGAATCCGAATTCAGTAGCTAATTTATAACCTTTCGACATTGTAGAAATAAGAAAGTGACGATGATAACAACTGATGTACGTTGTTTACCTTCAAGGTACGCACCAAGACCCTCCAAGACAGTAGGATTTGCACGAACAACTGAGATTGCAACATCAAGAGCAGACTGCAGCAAAGCTTTAACCTCTCCTTGAACAAGATCAACAAGTTTTCCCTATCAAGTTAAAAAAAAAAAAACTGTACAATCACTACAAATCCCATCGAAACATTTGCAAGTATAATAAAAACCCAAAACAAGAAAGAGAGTGTAGTAATTACTTGCTCCTTTCCCCATGGAGAAGATCCACCAGAATCATCCATTCCGCCACCAGAAAGAGTCGACAAAGAGATGGGGCCAATATTTTCATTAAGGCCATATTCGGCGACAGCCTTGTAAGCCATATCTGTAGCTCGTCGAATATCGTCAAGTGCACCTGTCGATACACGTCCAGAGTAAATAAATTCTTCTGCTGCACGTCCGCCAAGAAGAGTAACAAGGCGCCCTCGCAATTCGTCTACGAAGAGCAAATACCTATCTTCGCTGCTTGGAGGTGTGTAAGTAAATCCTAGGGCTCCGCCTGATCTTGGCAATATGCTCAGCTTCTGATAAAAAAAAAAAAAAAAAAAAAAAAAAAAGAAAAAGTAATGATACATATTAATAATCACCCTCTACTCAATTTATTAACATGAATTCTGTCAACAGAACAAGTTTAGTATATGAAGAAAGCCGAAAGAACATTACCTGAACCCGAGGTTGTCCAGAGAGAAGATTTGCAACTGCAGTTCCCACAACTGCATGACCGGCTTCATGTCGTGCAACAACACCTTTTTCACTGCCCTTCAATTTGGCTGTCTTTTTTTCGATCCCCTGCAACATAACACAGCCTCGTAAGAAATTTAGGGCAACCAAATTATGTTCTTTAATTGACACACACACACACTATATATATATATATATATATATATATATATATATATATATATATATATATATATATATATATATATATATATTTTAAGAAATATCCACTATTATAACTTGTACAATATAAAAGGTCTGATGTTAGATCTAGAGCCAAGTACAATTTGTTGGGACTTATTTACTAATTACTTATTAGTAGTGGATACGAAATTTTTGGGTTCCGAAGCGAAGAATATTGAAAATACTAGGTACTTTCAATCGAACATCTTACAACTAGTTTATGCCTCTAAAACTATTCTTTTTTGACCAATCCAACATTTCTCGTTCCAAAAAAGACAATTGTTACGTTTCATCTTTCTACACTTTTGATGCATCTCTTGTAACTTAACCACAAGAGTAGATTTCTCCACATAATTTGTCGATCATGATATTTACAACTGTGATTATTCACTTTTATTGTGATGTTGAAGTATTATTGGAGTTCAATTATAACTTTGGGACATGTATCTGATACAGCCATATTCACGTGTTTTTGACAATCAAAAATTAGAAGTTGCTCAATTGCACATTTGAGAAAATTCCCAGATTATTCTCAAAACGCACCCACAACATTCCTATGGTTAGTCCATTGGCAATGCATGAATCCAACAGTAATGAAAGAAGGAAAGTTATAAACGAATAGTGACCTTCATTCATTATGCTTTTCTTATAAAATATCTAAATATGCTGCGTTATAATATGTTCGTTTTTGGTTACCACAAGGACCCCGATTAGGAATTAGACAAATTACGAACTATATTATCTTTCTCGTTTAATAACCAAAACCTGCTCTCCAAGTTCCTCTATTAGAAATCTGAGGACGTAGTAAATGACTTGTTTACCCCCATACAAATATTCAAATAAGAAAGAAGAAAGCTTTAATACACTTAACATGTAAAAGGACAACTATACCTACCCACAATCAAAGTCAATCCAGACCTGAATGACTGAAACCTAAACAACTGCCAGCAGTTACACCACCCGTTCTCAATGTTCAGTTACATATCCATAAGTCTCACTCACCGGACTTTGACCGGCCGATGCCAAAACGATGGTAGTTTTAACTTGGGTTTTTTATGCCATAATATCAAAATATTATCGAAGGTTAAATAGTACTTTAACATGTAAAATAAATGACTAATGTATTTTAAATTTTATTTATCTCTAGGAGTTGTTTTAAACCACTTCAGCTCTCAAAGAATGGCAGGAAATGAAGGGGGAAGTATATTTTACCGCTATAGACCGCTCTACTGCTTGAATAAAATCATCCCTCTCCACCAACAATTTACTGCTCCTTCCGGCCAATAATGCAGCTTCATTTACCAAATTTGCCAGATCCGCCCTGCACAACATCAAAACGACGGGAAAAGCACTTCACAAAAAAGGTCAACAACATAACACGTCAAACATTCACAGCGTGAAAGATTAATTTAATTACCCAGTAAATCCCGTGGTCATTGAAGCAATATCACTCAGATTAACATCCTTGCCAAGAGGAAGTTCTTTCTTGGAAGCATGTACGTTTAAAATGGCTTCTCTTCCAATCCGATCAGGTGTTTCGACCTAAAGACCGAATCGGACATCTTAACGTAAAGGAAATGGAAATACTTGCAGCACTGTTAAATTAGAATTTAAAGTAGCCAAGTTACCATGACAACTCGATCAAATCTACCGGGTCGACGGAGGGCAGGATCTAGAACATCTGCTCTGTTAGTTGCTCCAAGTACAATGACTGCTGAGTTACTATCAAATCCATCCATCTCCTACAGTATATTTATTTTTCTAGTATTAAGCATATCTCAACTGAATAAAAATGTATCAAGAAAGAAACAATTTGTTCAAGAAATCATACAGTGAGAAGCTGATTTAACGTTTGTTCCCGTTCATCATTGCTCACGATACGGAATCTGCCATCGCGGCTCTTGGCCACAGCATCTATCTACATTAATGAGAAATTGCTTATGAGAAAGATTGTAAATGACAAATTACCGTAATGCCCTTAGAGGTGAAAGACGGAACCTCGTCTATGAATATTATGGATGGAGCTTCCTTCTTTGCACGTGCAAAAAGGTCTCTGACACGGGATGCACCCATGCCAACATACAGTTCTACAAATTCACTTGCTGAACAGCTTATGAAAGGAACGTCAGCTTCTCCAGCAACAGCTTTTGCTAAAAGTGTCTTACCTGTTCCAGGAAGACCGACCTGGAACACAACAGTAGCTGCAGTTGAAATTATATTCAATTTTGTACAAAGGAAACAATTAGCAGAGAAAAGTGTGTATTTCAGCTGACCATAAATATAAATAAACGTGAACCGAAACCAAATACTAGGATTTAATTTAATACATTTATTTTACGAAAAATCTAATGACTGTACAAAAATGATGGGAAACAACAAATCTATGTTCTACATATTCGCTTCGAAGACATAGTTAGGTAAATTTCTATTGACATGGTCATGAAATTTAAATAAATTGATTTTTTTTTTTTTAAAGGAGAGAGAGAATGTGTTTAAATATAGAGAGCTTGACTTAGCCGTGAGTCACAATTTACTTCTATATTTCCAAATATTATATTCTTTTATCTACTTAGAAAAAGAGAACTCACCAAGAGAACACCTCTAGGAGGGCGTGCACCAAGTTTTACATACCTGTCTGGATTCCTAAGAAATTCCTGGCCAGTAAAAGCAGAAGATCAAACAATTAAATATATAACTCATTATACAAACATAATTACGTTGTGAAATTAGTATTGCATTCTTTTGAAAATTGACTAAATAATACGAAATTGCTGAAGGTCTAACATACCACAATCTCTTCCAGTTCCTCCTTGGCCTCATCGACACCGGCAACATCAGCAAAGGTAACAATTTCCCCTTGTTCAGAAACTTTGGATCCCCCGGAATTCTTGGACTTGCGGTTTCTAAGTTGCCCTGGTGTATTCTGTATATTTGCAGTCAATATATTATCAAGCCCTGTCGACGGTTCTTTTTTCAAAAACTATATACAGCATAATGGTTCATACCTGAGAAAAGTTGAGAGGAAACCGGTGAAGAAGACCTGCAAGTACAGCAGCATAGAATAAAGCTATCTGTAGAACAAAAAAGGAATGGAGTCAGATCTCATAAATAGGATATCTAAATCAGTACAACGATGATAGAAGCAAATCAGCAATATAAAAAACTGTAACTGGACTGGAACTGCTCACATCGTCCAGTGGATGATCACCTGGCGTGTCATATGCGAAAATATACACACAATGCATACATAAACTGAAAAATTAAACTTTAAGCTTAAACTTAACACTTATATATTAGATCAAATCGAAACCTCATTCCTGTTTCATGTTTTTGTGTCAAATATACAGCGCTACTCGCAAAGGAGAGAAGTCCTAGGCCTTTTCCAGCAATACAGCATACGCCCAGACCTCATCACAAACATTTCCCGTGCACACTGAACCACCCCAAGCTGCTCTTCTTCATTTCTACCTATTCTTTCTCTATTCCTCTCTTAATTGCTCTGAATCTTCTATTTTATTTTTCTCTTCCTTCTCTTTATTAATCTGTTTTCTTTCTGTACCGCACAAAAAATAGCTACTTGTTTTCTTTCTGGACCTTTTATTCTCTATTAATCTTTCTTAATAAAGTATAGCTAAGATTTCTGATTTTGTTGCAGATATGCTAAACAAAATGTGATGTGTTTAATAATAAAACTAATAGGGTTTCCTATTCAAGGGTTAGACTTGATGTTATCTCTAAAAAATAATCTGCGTTCTAAGCTTCATTAAGTTATATGTAACTAACTGCTGAAAGCCACGGATTTTTTTGGTTTAATAAACTGGATAATGCTGATACATTGTTAGATTATGCTATAAATTTTCTCTTTAACTACTGAAATTCATGGAATTTTGAAAGTACTAGAATTCCCTTGTATGTGATCTCATTCCCTGACTACCAACAGAAAGCTCTATAATTTAATTGTTAGAATAATATATAGACCTGCGTTTGCTTGGTTGAAGTTGTCATTTCATAAGGCTTCAACCAAAGCAAATAGCAGGGAATCATGGAAACTTAATCAATCATCACATCATCAAAAATTAAAGTGTAGATTTTGCTTCTGTGTTATATTAGTGAGACTACATATGTACTGTATATCAAAGCAAGAATCTTCGAGCCATTGCAATAAGAACACTTGGCAACACAAAAACTCACAAAAGAATGAAACTTGATGGTCCTAGTTTTCCAAAATCGTGTCATATTGAACTATCAAATGTTAGACCTATTTTTTCAAGCAGATTCCAAAGCAAAAAGTTTGGAGAAAAAACAATAAAGCAAAAAGAACTCACCAATGCAGAATTCAAGAATCCACCGGACCTCTTATCCGGAGAACCAAACTCGACATCATTCTCCAACATCTTCTCATACGGCGTCTTGATGTCAACCGGCCTTGTAGTTGTATACAGCACCCGCTTCGTGGGACCCACGCTCCTCAACAAAGACTCCGAGTCCTGAAACTTACTATTCACCTCGCCTGCAGCACTCTCAATACTCCCAAGTCCAGCTTCTCCTCCCTTCAACTTAAACATAATGTGCACACCATCAACCTCCACCTTGTGCACTTGATTACTATTAATCCTACTCAAGAACTCGCTATACGGAACACTAACGAACGTGGTCGGAGTCCTAGGCTCGGAGCCAGGCAGCGGAATCCCGGGCCGAAGCAATCTCATCACAAACATCACAATCCCTAATTGTATGAGCAGAACACCCATCTCTTGTGCTTGAATTATCGGCTGCCATCTCCATTTATTACTGTTGTTGCTCCACCAATTGTTCTTCCCCTGCTTCTCCCTCCGGCCCGAACCCGAACCCGAACTCGAACCCGGGCCCGTTTCCTTCGGGGTTTCGGACCCACTCGTTTCGGCTTTCTCAGACGAATCATTGTCGTGTTCGTGGGGGGTATTGGCGTAAATTCTGGATAATTTCCACTTCGGATTATTGCAATTATTTAGAAAGCACAATTGAAAATTCGGAACCCTAGGCGGCGACAAAACATCGTACAGCAGGCGACCAGGTTTTCCATGGAAAGCTCTATACCGACTGCAAACGGAGGGGCAATTGTGTAAATAGTTGCGATGATTGTTGTATCTAAAAGTCGAAATTCGTCTGTAGATTATCGTCGTGTCGACGGTGGCTGCCATTATCTGGGAGGAAGAAAAAAAAATCCAGGAAAATGAAAAAAAAAAAATCAACTTGAATTCATACAACACCAGAGATTATATATATACATTTACAGAGGCGGAGATTATTCCAGTTTCCACTAGATATGTGGGTTAGAGAAGGGGATGGAGAACGGCAATATCAGCCGTTAGATTGGTGACGACGGTGGTTTCTGGCCGTTAAATAGTTTTGCACGAGTGTGTTTCCGTTTTATCCGATTCCTCTCGTTCTTCTCGCTTATGTGGCAGTTTGTCCAAACATATAATTCTCTACCGTTTAAAAATAGTATTAGTTAGAAATCCCCATCAAGCTAGCTCAACTAGTTGCGGAGGTAGTAAGTTGGTACAAGGTCCTAGGATCGAATCTTGACAGTCGCAGTGTGGGAATTTCAACTCCAACGAGGGTTGGTTCCTAGTGTGCACCAGGTCCAAGTCCGCTACCTTAACGAGCCGTTGAGTCACCATGATTATTTAGATTTCTCCATCAAATACTTGTCGGACCAAGGAATGGGAGCCGTGGGGCGAAGGATTTCGCCTTTTGATACAAGAAATCCCAATCAATTATGCAATTAGTAGCTGAAAGTCTCTATAAATGACCTATAAATTAGCAATAAGAAGATACCGAAATATTCTTTGCTTAGAAATAAGACTCAATTTTCTCAAAAAAAAAAATTAATAAATAAGATTCTCAATCGAGTTGAGCCTACTCGATGAGTCAATACAATTTTATTTGAGTTGAGCCTAGTTAGTTAAGAATTTTGTCGAATTTGAGTCATTCTATTAAGCCCGAAAAGTTTATAGTCGAGTTTGAGCTTGTTATGAAAACTCAACTCGAAATAAGCTTATTTAAATAAATGATTTTGTTAAATTTATTATTGAATAAAGTGTTTTATTAATAAATGAAAATTTGGATTTACATTCGTAATTGAACTTGTTTTTTCAAGCTTATAATAAATGTAATTTAATGAATTCAAAAAGTGTTTTATTTTTTTCATATAACAAATATTCATGTGTTTTCGTTGATTTGAATCGTTTGGTATGAAATATATATATGAATATGTAGATTTCAAAAAGTGTTTTATTTTTTTCATATAACAAATATTCATGTGTTTTCGTTGATTTGAATCGTTTGGTATGAAATATATATATGAATATGTAGATTTAGCCCAAGAAATGGTTGTTGACCTTGATAGGAAAGTGCATGGTGAAAATATTCTCTTCAAATTTGATATGTTTAAGGCATATGATAGATCGGAATGGAGATTTTTGGACTTTGAAAGTTTTGGAATTTAGGGCTCTCATAGATCGTGAGTGATATGTTGAGAGATGCATGAGTAATGTCAGACCAATGTTCATATTAAATCAGTGGTTGGTCTCACGCTTTATGTGTATCCCCTTTTTAGGTTCTCTAAGTAATTAGAGTGGCGCAATATAGCGGGGTTCGAAGAATCGCAAGCCTTGATTTCTTACATGTCCTGTCTGAATTTCATTAAAAACGATGTCTTGACTTTTCGCTTTTAAAAGTCTAATGTATAATGAAAATTTTTAAGATTCTATTTTGCACTCTATGCGTTAAGATATCAATAAAAACGAATATAAGACTTTGTCTCCCCCTAATTTATCACCCAATTAAACCTCTATCATGCAAGTTACGTCTTCTGACTATTAACCCGAGACACTATAATAATTATACCACGTTCTCGCATGTATTATAATTCTATTATTCACAAGCAGTTCATTATATATCTACGCTAACCAGTTTTGAATAAAGTATTAAAGATCAAGTCTCGCCAATGGCTACCTACGGTGATATATGTATGTATACAATACCACATGTAATTAACACACTAATCCGGTGAAAACTACTCGAATGTTCTTCTATCACTATTCTAATTATTAAAACGATATGTCGATTAAATTTGAACAATAACACATAACAACATAACCTAGCTAGATTAATGCACTAAATAAGATCATATAGAAGAAATAATCAGGAAATCAAACTTGCATAACAATAGAAAAATAGGTTCAAATTCACCACATAGAGTTCCGACAAAATTCTAAATTAAAATTTAGCTACTCATATTCTTAAGCAAAAACATTATGAAAATATTAAAATACATAAATTCAGAAAAGAGATATAAAGAACAAACTATGATGAAGGGTTGTCAAGTTTTCGTCTTCGATTCTCCCTTCTCTCGCTCTTCTTGCTCTAAGATTGTGTAAAAAATATCCTTTTTTCATGTTTGGTATTTGCTCTTATATAGATGTTAAGACTTGGTAAAAGATCAGGGTTTTCTTGCGCAATTTGAACTCCCAAATTATACCTCCGCGTGCATTCGGACGACTGTCCCATGCCAATACAATTCTCGGACGCCCGTCTCGAGCTTCTGTTAGATTTCTGCATTTGGGATGTCCGTCTAAGAATTTGAACTGATTTCAGACGGCCGTCTCGGTCATTTTTGTCTCTGACTTGTTTTCTTCCATTCTTGTTTGACTTTGACCCATTTTTTACCGTTTCATTATTAAAACGACGTAATCTTCAATTTGTACCTAAAATACAATAATCAAGTCATTAAGCACCATTATATCGACAAAATTCCACAAAAATCCTCGTAAAAAATTGTATAAATTGGGTGTAAAACCTACACTCCAACACTATGAAGGGAAAATTGTAAGTTTGGTAATATACGTTCTCATGCTTAGAGATTTGGTCCTCCAAGTTTCCATATTTCAATTTTACATGCAATAACTATGTAAAATTAGCATTTTTTTTTGTCCTATTTTACTCGAACTTTTATTTATACCCGTTCATTAAATGATATAGGTGACAAACTCATCGAATTTTATTCATATGAACACTTAAAATTTACAAATGATCCTCTACAGCTTTATAAATTTGTCCTCTCAAATAACCATAATTATATACATCAAGGCTAATTCAGAACTCGAACTTATCTTCATTCTTCCTATCCTATACTTTTTTTTTTACCTTTAAAATCATAAATGTTTTTTGTTTCTTAATTTTTTGTAGTTCCTATTATGCCATCCATGATAATAAGTTATTAAATAATGTATACACATTAATGCATTAAATTGTTATTAAATTATTCTATCAAAAGACGTTGGGTACATACTCTAATAACTTTTGACATCATATTAATGAAATTGATGAACAACCGTGTAATTTGGGAGAATTACATTTTTCGTCTCTCATGTTTGTCATGATTCTACTTTTGGTCCCCTTGTTCCAAAATGAACAAATTTTACCTTCAAGGTTCAATTTTAAACACATTCTAGTCCCTTCGTCATGTGTTCGTTCACATGTAACGGAAGACACTATTTTGGCGCGAAAAGTTAAATTTAAAATTGCTTCGGGACTGGGAAATAATAAAACATCTAGAATACTATTTAGAATTAATTTTTTTTAATACTATTTAGTATAATAAAAATAAATTGAATAATATTTAATTTTCACAAATAAAATGCAAAAAAAAAAAAAAATACATTAGATTTTTTTTGTTGAATAATATTTTAAATTTAACAAACAAAATGATATATATGCATAGGGAAAAATACAGTTTCCATCCCTCAAGTTTGTTCCAATTTAACATTTGGTCCTTCATATTTAAAAAAATCAACACTTTTACTCATTTCCGTCAATTTTTTCCTAAAACTAACAGAACTGAACGTATTCCCATCACTACCATACTGATGGATTTACAGTAAACTGTAAACATCGAAAATGACTAAAAGTGTCTAATTATTAAAATATGATAGACAAATTGAGTTTTATACAAACATAATAGAGTAAACTGCAAAAACTACCCCTGTGTAATCTCGAAATAGCAAAAACCCCCCTATGATAAATAAACTAGCAAAAACCTCCCCTGTGAAATTATTTAAATAGCAAAAACCCCCATATGGAACTATTTGAGGGTTGACTTGATATAAAAAGACACGAATACCCCTGGAGTCTTGCAATTAATAAATTCTTATATTTTATAAATATTTTAATTATTTTATTTAAAAAATAATCAATTTAGTTGTTTACTATTTTTTTTAATTTCTAAACAAACAAATTAAAAAGAATATATATACATATAATATGTATATATATATAAATACATTTTGAGGGACAATTTTGTCATTTCAAGTCTAAAAAATCAGCTAGGGGGATTCTGCCTTTGACTAAATTTCACAGGGGGGTTTTCGCTATTTCGAGATAAAACAGGGGTAGTATTTGCAGTTTACTCAAACATAATAACCAAATGTTAAATTGTTGTAAACTTAAAGGACAAAAACTGTAAATTTCCCTCTATTATAAGTACCAGTACTCCATTAAATCCCCAAAATGAGTTGAATTGAATCATCAGCCCAGAAAAAGAAGAATGAGAGTTGCAGAGAGATGTATGGGAATTCTTATAAAGGGCGGTTACCCCTCTCTCTAAACTCGCATGATTTCTTCAAGAAAAAGAAAAGAAAAAAAAAAACAGCCCTTGAAGCAGAAGAAGTAAGAAGAAGCCATAGTTATCACACTGTGTGTGTGTTTTTTCATGGGTCGATGCCATTCGCTCGTATATCTGTATGTAATGTGTAATGGAGGCTGTGATGATTATTTTTCTTGGATTCTTTTTTTTTTCTGGGCTGATGAATTTCATCGGGCATTTGAGATCTAGCCCACCCGTATCTTGGCGGGGCGACCCGGATGGCCTTTATAGGCAACCGGTTTTTTTCAGTTGCCATGGCGTGGTGGGTGCTCTCTTTTGCCTGCTTCAACTACAGATCTGAGCCTCAAATTTATTTTAATTTTGTTGACAAAATCCGGAAAATGGAAATCTGTGTTCCTTCAATTGATTTTTTTTTTTTTTTTTTTTTGGTTTTTTTTTTTCAATTGAATTTTCTTTTTTAGTTTTTTTTTTTCCTAATTTATTTTGACTTTTTATTATGTTTGTCTTTTATGTAAAAAAGAAAAAAAGACAATTCTATTTTATATACATATATCATTTTGTTTGTTAAAATTAAAATATTATTAATAAAAAAAAAATTGAGAAGAAGCAAAAGTTGGTACCTCAGCCCGTTTAATAAAGAAAAGAACAATGGTGAGAGTAAAAAGAGCTAATTGAAAAACAATCCATCAATAATAATCTTAACGTCGGCGGATCGGAGGGCTCCAAATGCCGGGATGGTTCGGCGTCTGGGTCCCTTCTAAAATGTGTTCAAATACGTTGCACTCCAACTATTAAGATCTCCGGTCAGAATCCC